AGAGCTGGGAATAGATTTGACAGAATTTCAGGTTTCTAGCCCTTTACCCAGATCTCTAGACTTCAGCTTTCCTTACTACAAAAATAAATAAGGAAGAATACATTTGGAATTTCTCTCTCTGGCGCAGACTAATTCTAAAAGGCAAATTTTTACCCACAGACGTTTGAAGGATTCCAATATATATAGGTAAGTTGTTGCTTTACCTTACATTTAGCAGATCACGGGGAAATCTCTGTACACAGGAGTGACTTCACCTCTCTCTAAAATGCATCTAACTCTCATAGGGGAAACCCCAACAGATGAGGTTCCCCTTAAACTGCTAAATAAAGGTTAAACTACAATTTGTCCTGTCAACTTAAGGATTTTACAATATGGTAGCTACTGAATTGTTCTCTCTTTCATGAACACGGATGTGTGAGCATGCACACCAACCTACCCACCTCTTTTTTGCCCCTAGCACAGATATACACAAAGAAATCCACTTGGGTTCCACATCACTGTCATCACATAAGCTTCTCCCATCGGCTTCCAATTTATCTGAACAGTATGCCCAGAGTATGATTAATCCAACAAGCTGTCAGTTTTCATCCTACACAATACAGCATTCAGAGGACAGATATACTAAGAGAAACCTACACCCAAGACATTTTTATAAGAAGCTGGCAGTTAATGTTAGGTGCCATAAACAATGCACCAATATAGACTCTGTCTCTCTTGCACACACCCTCCCCCACTCATTTTTTCTTGTGTTCTTTAGTGAGAAGAAAAAGTGTCAGTAGTGTGATTTAGCAATCCTGTGATAAGAAATGTTGAATATTCTGACAGATGGAGATTCAGCTGTCAATAATTCATACATGAGAGAAAGCTGAAATAACACTGAACAGGAACATTATTGTTTTGTTTTTAAAAGAAAACAGGGCTCGCATTTTTAAGTCAAACTGAAAGAGGTAATGGCCCTGGCTATTAGAGGTGCACTGATACATTAATCCATATCATACTGGCACTGAAAAAGAAAATCAACATTATCAGCAATTGGCCTGTTTTGGCTGATGTGGCTGATAATGTCGCTGACAAATGCCACGTGCATGTGCGTAGTGGCTCCATGCACATGGCCAGGAGTGCAGCACAGCAGTGTGGAGACCAGCATCCTGCCAGTAAGTCTCTGGGGCAGGATGGGGAAGGAAGGGGGAGGCAGCAAATTGAGGTCCCCGTGGTGAAGGAGGGAGGGCTGAGGCAGGGGAAGGGGAAGGCACTGCACAGTCAGGGTGGGGCATAGGACGGAGCTACAGCTTGTCTGGCGGTGCAGAAGGGTGGCTCCTACCACAGCACACACCTCCGTGGGAGGCCCCCCAGATGTGTGCGTGGGACAAGGGCAGGCTGCTGTAGCTGCTGCAGACTGGGACCAGAGGCTGTTCCAGGCTGTTCCCTGCTGTGGGGGCTGGCCCGGGACTGCACCTGGGCTGGGCAAGGTGGGGCAGGTGGCAGACAGGGAGGGGGAGCTATGGTGAATTTTGGGGTGGCTGTAGCTGCCCTATAATGCCCCCTCCCAGTGCCACCTCCTCCCGCCCCACCCAAGTGTAGCTCTGGTCAACCCCCCACCACATACACTGGAAAAAACCTTGGTGCAGCCTCCGGTCCCAGCCTGCAGCAGCCCACCTTCACCCCACACACAAATCCAGGGGAGCATGTGCCTCCCCGTGCCGCCCCA